TCTGCATATTTTTACCAAACTTCTGTTTTTTGTGTTGATGCCTTGCCAACTGTCTTAACATATAGGCCCAATTTGTAGCTCATAACAATTATTTGAAATGGTGGGTTGTGAGCAAAGCAACATGCCAGTGCAAGAGAGGAAGAATCAATACTTAGTTTATTTTAGGGTTGTTGCTCTTGCTTTTTGGGGCAGAGACAGGCCAGAGGTCTAGATTTGGATGCAACACTAAACGACCCTGACAAAGATTCCTGCTTCAAATGAGAGTAACCAGACAGCATACAGCAGTGTGCTGCTCCATTCATGACAATCCACAACTTAAAATTCTGATTCCTCATGGTGTGCAGACTAGACCATTCTGTGCTAGCAGTGGGACACCTTACCATGTTGCATAAAATATACCAGGATTAATTGCAGAGCCCAGCATTGTGCATTAAGGGGACAGGCACATCAATTTGTTTTGTGTAATGAACTGCAAGATTCAGTCCTTGAATTAGCAGAAAGTGTATGCTTCATAAAGAGATTCTATGGCATGCCTTTGTGTATATGAAATGGGTTTCTGAGTGTCATCAAATGTTATTTGGTATTAAACAATTCTGTCTCTCTTAATGGACTATTCTTGTTCTGCAGTGAGGACAGAGTCATTGAGCATTATATAAAAAATAAGGGGCTGACCAGAGGACAAGCGATCGTTCAGTAAGTGTTTTGTTTGGCTTGTGTGGGGAGCAGTGGCATATGCAGGCGGCTTCAGTGATAATCTGATTGATTGATCCAGTGCTAAACCAGTCGGTGTTACAGGCTGGTGTTCAGTGCTAGCATGAATGAAACAAGGTGTGCTTGTTAACATCTTGCAGAGGCACAGAACCCTATTCTGGCCCTGTTGGCATTCTGCAGTTCAAAAGATCTTCAGGCCATTTCCCTTCAGATCGCCACTTCCACCTATACCCATGACTTCCTTTATACTAAAGACACATTTATCAGCAAAGAATGCCTTTTGTAATCTGGAGCATAACCAGGAACTAATCTAACAGCAGAAGCTTTATAAACCAAGGAGTAAATGCTGTTAGATTAGAGTAAATGGCTGCTTAGCTGGTTAGATCTCTTTTTCTGGTTACATCTCTCTGATATTATATGTATTTTACCATTCAATTTTATGTTATATGGCTATGAAGTTGGCTAGATACATTTACAATGCAAGTGTATTCAGGAGAAAGAAGAATGTCCTATTCCTTAGAGCTGAACTTTGAAAATATTTCAGATCCCCATTGTAGAGAGCTCAGCCACTAGGACTGAAGCCAGGTTTTCAATGGAACTTATTCATTATACAGACAAGTAGAAGATGGTAAACACCTGGCAAACCTAGCTATAATATAGCTCAAATTAGATTTTTAAATAACATAAAATTAATTCCATTATACTGAGTTATTTGAAAATATGATTATGCTGATTCTTACTATGCTTGAATTCATTTGTAAAAAGATTTAAAACATAAGCATCAACTGATCTGTTCTAATAATGAAGGGCTAGTATCCAGTGGTTGCCTAATGCTAGTGCTAGTGATGTTGCGCTAGTGCACTGGTGACGAACCTATGGCATGTGTGCCATAGCGGGCACACAGAGCCCTTTTTGTCAGCACCCGAGCCAAGTCGCCCCAGTGTCACCCCAGCAACTGAGCATTGGATAACAGCACACATAGGGGCCATGCGCATGCTCGGACAGGAGTAGCAATGCCGTCACAAGCCGCGATTCATGAGCCACATCTCATCTGAGCTTTCACATCACCGGTCAATGTGCTGGCAAGGAGATGTATATATGTGCTTCGACTGGCTGTGAGTTGTTTTTTCTGAACTAAAACCTCAGTTTTCAGGTTTTATTGTAGTGTTGGCACTTTGCGATAAATAAGTGGGTTTTGAGTTGCAGTTTGGGCACTCGGTCTCTAAAAGGTTCACCATCACTATGCTAGTGTAAAGCAATACCTGTGCAATGTAACTAGCACAACCAGGAAATTGTTCATCTGCTGTTGAAATTTGTTTCCATTAGCAAATTGCAGCTTTTTCACTGGCAGTATTACATTGCACAAGGGTTAGTTTGTGGTAACTATAGCGGTGACTGACAAAAGCTTGTGTGCTGTGTTGGGTAGAGCACTAGACTGGGAACCCCGAACTTTGGGCACTGGCTAGCTTTGGGCCAGTCACTCACTCTCAGTCACAGGATTGTTATTGTGAGGATAAAATCGAGCCATGGAAGCTGCCTTGGCTTCCTCACTAGAGGGAAAAGGGGAGCATATAAATGCAATGCACAATAGTGATGATGGTGCTGGTGATGATGATGATGACGATGACATGCTAACATTGCATCACTAGCTGAAAGACTACTGGGTACCACCCAGAATCCTTAGCGAGAAAGCCCTCTGTTGTTGTGCTGAAACAAACTTAAATATGAATCTAAACCCTTTGGTCAGGGGATATGTGTACATAGAAGCCTTTACAGAAGAACGGCTTCATTGACTTGTGAATCTGTCTGCATAGGTACATGAAAGTGGTTGAAGCTCTGCCTACATATGGAGTCCATTACTATGGAGTAAAGGTCAGTAAACAGTGCAAGCCAACATGCGTACTTCGTTTATTATATGCAGCTGTATGTTTGAATGAGCCGTTCGCCTGGAAAAGGCTGAGGGAATGATGGTGGAAGCCACATGGTTTGCGTATGGAAGTTCTCAGGTTTGGCTCTTGGCTTCTCCAGTTGAAAAGATCAAGCAACAGGGGATGGGAAAAGTACCCTCCAGCTGTTTTGGAAGGCAATTCTTGTTTGTCCTGGTCAGCACGGCTAGTGATCATTAGCAGTGAACTTCCAGTTCAAAACATCTGGAGAGCACTAGGTTGGGGAAAGCTGCAGTAGGCACTGCTGGGCTATAATGACACATGGTGTGGCCTGGTATAAGGCAACTACCTCTGGTCCTGAAAAGTAATAGAAAATTAAGTATCAGAAAACTCTTGTTAACATGTTTTTTTGGGACTGAATATTGAGTCATAATATTCCCATGCCTTTTCCATGATAGCACAATTCCTATAATTTAATTAGACTGTGATCCTGCACAGGTTTAGACAGAAAAAATGTTATAGCTTCCAGCATGTCCCATCCAACATAGTTGGGACTTATAGGCCTTCTTTCTGTCTAAACTTGCATAGGATTGCACTCTTAGTTTTCATTCATTTTGTTTCCATTCCAATTAATTTAAATAAGCAATAATTTCTAGCTCTTACGATATTTTATGGCCCTCCAAAGAAACTCTATTTTCAGCCAAGGTCTGGACTCTTATAAAGGTTGTTCTCAAGGCATAAAAACACTGCCAAAAATGCGATGAAAGAAAAAGTACATAGTTACAGTATATAGTTTTCTTTTTCCATCAGATTTTTAAGAGAAATAAGTTAAAAGGAGTGGGGTTCACCATTGCTTATTTAGGCATGTCAAAGCAAAAGTGAATACTTCTGTGACCGATATGTGCCAGTTTGTTGACTTAAGTTTTGTGCCACAATAAAAATATTTTGGAACTTCACAGTCCTGAGCATCTTGTGTATGTCTAATGGTAGCATTGCCAATTCAATCCAATCCATTTCAATTCCGGGTTGTAACACCAACAAATGTGTAAGACACTGTACTGTAGGGTCTGTGCAAGGCACTGTAGGGTCATTTCCAAAGTTCACCAGGGGAGATCTTCTGAACAAATATGTGTGCATTTTTAGGGCAAAAAGATGATCCATGTGACTGCATCTCCATTTTCCTTTGCAAAAAGCAGCAGGGGATTGCAGGGGGTGGGATCTGTACCAGCAAAGCAATGACATGACCTCCACCATGCCATTGCACTGGATCCAAATTTCCCTCGTCTCACAGCTACTACAGGCAAAATTAAAGGGTGTCAGGAGATCTGCTAACATTTAGTTTGTTCCTTGGGCTCTCTGTGTGCCCTCATATTATTTGTAGTGATGATAAACATGAAGGGGCTCTAGGATGCTGTAATAATGTATTCATGGAGGCGAGCCAAGTGCTTCCATTCTAAACACTGAATACTGAGAAGCAGAAAGCTGCAGACATGCATCATAAAGATTAAGGTCAGTAAATGTGCCCACAGTTCAGTAGTAGTGGGCTAAAATATGATAACAAATAAGGCAATAGACAGAAGTATTCAATTGTTTCCAGAGTGACATTTAGAACGGAAGCATTTGGCTGCCCTCCATGAAAGCATTATTACAGAGTTCCATCAGCCCCAGCCAGCATGATCAATAGTCAGACATTCTGGAAGTTGTAGTCCAAGACTTTTGCAGGTCATGAGGTTATAGAAGGCTGTGCTAGTTTCCCTTTGCCACAGACTTCCAGGTGACCATAGTCAAACCACAGTCTCTCAGCCTCAGTCCCCCATCTACAAAAAATAAAACAAAACAACCCCTTAAGTAAGCCATCGTTTTATAATGCTGCATATTATTTTTTCTTGCTTGCAAAAGATCCCTGTGAAACTTAGAAGTCTTGTGAGCAGAAGACATTAGCCCTCCAAAAAGCTACTGTTTTACCTACTGCTTTTTTCACTGTTTTTCATATGTGCATATACAGTAGCAGTGGGAAACTTTTGGCTCTCTACAAACGTTGGCCTACAGTTCCAAAGAACTTTGGCTATTGGGTGGCAGAGAACTGAAAACTGCCATTATTCTCCCTAGGTAGCATACTTATTGACAAAGGAGAATGGGAGTTATAAGCAAAAAACATCTGGAGGGCCACAGGTATCCCATCCCTGATATAAAACAGTTCATGGAAGGTAGATTGCAGTCTTAAAAATACATTGGGGTGTATGCCCAAGTAAACATCCATAAGATTGCACTGCATGTGTTCGGAACCCATTATTTCCTTTCAACAGTGTTCCAGTGCAGCAATACTCAGGACACATCCTTGATCAAGTTTCTTTTATTATTGTTGTTTTACTGCCCACAGATTTTCCTCAACTTGTACACCACCTGTAGCCAGTGTTTCAAAGAATGCAGCTTCTCTTCCCTACTGTTTTCCGCCTGTTTGCACAGCATCTTCCAGCTGGGAAAGGAATGGCAGACCATTTTCAACAATAATCTTTGCTTGGTTGGTTGCAGGTGTGCTAACAAAGCGCTGGCTTCGTCTGCTTAACTTGCAGATACTTGTTGCCGGACAAAATAGCTAAATGTTATATCATCTCTGCAGCTCCTGACTCTTATTTAGGTCTTACCACTCTCTTCTTTAGGATAAACAAGGAATCCCCTGGTGGCTTGGAATCAGCTATAAAGGAATTGGCCAATACGATTTACAAGATAAAGTCAAGCCTAGAAAAGTAAGTCCATGTCTGTCTGTGTGTGTCTGTGTGTATAATGCAAATAGGTGTGTGAACACAAAGATGTGGGGGAAACAGTCAAAACCAACGTTTAGCCATTTTTCCTCTATTCTAGTCAGTTGGAGGATTAGAACTAGGAGTTTTGACAGAAGTAAAAAATATATCTTGGAGAAGGAATATCCCTCCTTATTCAGAATAGTTGAGGTGCTGGTAGTCACTGGGTACCAGCGATGCTTCTTGGGAGTCTTCTTTCAGATGTATGCAGAATAAATTTGTGGGGATGTCTTTTTAGGAAAGAGACTGAAATTGTAATGTTCAGGGTTCCTCTTGTTTATTGCAATAAAATGCAAAATGTAGAAGGAACAGCTCTTTTGCTAGGTCCCTTTGCTGATGGTAACTCGCACAACATATGCATTTTTATTATCCTTCCTATATGAGCCATGAACTTTGTGCGCTCTGCTGGGTGTGTTTATTGTGGCTCTCAAGGTCTTATCTAAATCCAGGTCTTATCTAAAGCAGCATTCTTTGGGGACTGGGAAGCCTCCCCCTTTCTCACATCAAAGCGTTGTGATACTGCTTGCAAAATTAGTCGTGCCTAACATTTTGAGGAAAGGGCAGTTTGACAGCTAGTCTCAAATCTTTGTATGCAACCTTCAGTGTAGCCTTTCGTTCACCATGTTTGATCTCTGGACATATGAGGCCCTGCACTGAATGCCCCAATGAACTGTGTGAGGCCATAATCACCAGGGAGAGAGACTTTTTCCGTAGTGACACCACACTGAACGGTGGAACTGCCTCCCCAGACAGTCTGCATGGCACCATCTTTATGGACTCACTGGCAGTAGGTGAAGACTTTATTGTTCACCCAGGTTTTTTAAAAAATAGCATGCATCTCTTAGTTTTAAAATCTCGTTGTGCTTTAAATTGCTTTCCTTGCTTTATATTGTATTTTGACCCATGTTACAAACCACTGTAAAGAATAATAATATCCAGACTACCAGCCAATATGATCTGGTTTGCATGATCAAATTAAACCACTGTGGCTTAAATAAAATAAGCCAATCAGTGCCAGGTGTCATTTCCTTCATTACATGGCTGGCGATGACTTGCCAAATTGCCTAAATCCAAGGAGCACGACTTGACTGTGGGGCAAACAATCCCCAGATAACGCAAGGTAGGGTTGTATCCTTTTCGAACATGCCATTTTACCCAGATTCAGATGACCCAACAAAGTGTGGCTAGTTCAGCACAAGCTGCCACCACTTCTTTAAGCCACCATGGTTTGTCTGACTGTGTTGATTGGTCCAGTGTGACAAGGACAGCCTGAAATGTCCCAATGCCACATTTTTGGAGGAAGTGCACCTCCCCACCCCCTGCACCAAAGAGCACAATGCAACCTTCCAGTTCTTCTCAGTTTGTCAGGATACGCCCCAGCCTCCAACCTGCACTGCTGGTTCAGACTAATAGACCATCAAACCTAACATCCTGCACCATACAGCAGCCAGCTAGATGACCCTGGGAAGCCCACAAGCAGGGCAAGAGTGCAGCATCCCTCCCCTGTTATTTCCCCCAAGCAAGGCAAACAAACAGGTGGGTCCTAACTTGCCCCAGAAGCAAACTTGTTGAAACTGAGGTTGCCGTACTTCCAGTACATTGTGAGAAGGCAAGACACACGGAAGAGGGCAATAATGCCAGGGCAAGTGGACCCAAGGCTGCCAAGGATGGGTCATTTTGGAGGGTCTTCATTTGTAGGGTTGCCATAAGTCAGAGATGACATGCAGCTGGTGTTCCCAGGCATACCATATATGGCCGCCTCCCTCCAGAAGTGCTAGACTACAGCTGCTGTCACCACAGCCATACTGGGAGGCGGTATGCTGTGGTAGGTTGGCATATGGACATGATGGCTCTGTAGGGCCACAATGTCTAATACCCACTGAATCTACCATGAATTGAGCTCATCCCTTCTTAGAGCCATCTAAGCTAGCAGGCATGGACACATCTTGTACAACAAACCCCACTATTATGAATGAATTGCTGGTGTCCCTGGGCTCTTGTATTGTGAGAGGGATAAGAACGTCATTCTTTCTACACTGCATATTTTTATAAACCTCTACCACCAGGCATTTTTTATAATTCCCCTCCACTCCCAATATTTTTTTCTAAGCCAAAAAGTTCCAGTTAAGTTCAAGTTTTAATCTTTTTCTAATAAAGAATAGGTTGCAACCTTTCCAATATGAGGATATAGTTACAGATAGACCTACAATAACAGTTCAGTTGGCCAAGGCAGAAAAACCCAGCTACAGTGTCTGTTTTGTGTTTCCTCCTTCCCTGGCCTCCACACAGTCACTGCTCTTCCATGGAATGCTTAGTGGTTTTCCTGGCAGATTCTCTGCAAATTTAAAAACTGCATGAGTTGTCAGAAGCTCACCTAATACAGCATTTTCTGGCAGGGAATTGCAGCGATGGGGAAAAGATGTACCTGTTCTATTTTTTGCACAGCAGTTAAGAGAAAAGGCAGCAATCATTTGTGAACAGAGGAGAAAACTAGGAGTTTCTACTTTGCAAGCATAACAGCATAGAAACAGACTATGCTTGTTTGTTTACAAGTCCATTCCATTAGGCATATAGTGTAATTCCTTCATATGATCAACTCAAAGATCACAAAAATGAGCAAGCATTCAGGATCTCTTTGTTAGGCTAGATATAACAAAAGGCTGGTTGGTGTTTTGGCTGATGAAGAGATTTGGAGATTGAATTGCTCTAATGAAGGTATTACATTATAGAGATTGCGGATTTTTTCCTGTAGCCGACATGACTGATTTTGTTAGTTTGCTTTTCATTCCATTAGGATTGTTTCCTCACTTGCTGCTATGATTTTAAGCATATTTGAAATGTGGCAGTGTAGCAGGTGAGTTTTCCAGGCAGGGAGAGTAGTAGTGTATCATAAACCTTTACCCACAGACTTTCTGGCTGTTCAGGTACTGCTAAAAACAGCACCTTCAAAGAACAGGAAATCACAATTAATTATGCATTATGCATGCAAGTTTTTCACCTATTTCAGGGAGATGCCAGTGAAGTCTCTGTTGCACTTCTGTCTGTTTAGCATGCAACCCTGATGGCAAGCCTTTTGCTACCTGAACAGCTCACAGGAGCAGAATAGGCCTGTTGCCCTGCCAAAGCGGAGGACCATGTGTTATCCCACTGCTTTCCTGAGCCACCTCCAACAGGGCTCATTCCTCCTTCCTTGGCACCTGGTGATGCAGGTAGCAGCTGTCCCAGCTTTATTCTTGAGCAAATCACAAGTACCTAGAATGAACCTGAGAGTCCTTTGAAACAGCTCATTTTCCCTGCTGGCTGTAGCAAGGAGACCTGCACATGTACTAATTACACCCCAAGGGAAACACTCCTTGTCTCTTCCCAGCCACACCTCTATGCCTTACATGCATATCCAAGCCAAAAGCTGGTTAATCTGCTGCTCTTCCTGATCCAGTGCATTTAAGGGTCAGCAGCTCTGACATGGTTCCTGCCAGTTACATATTTTGCTGATGGAGTATTGGGTGCCGCTGACTCCTTAGAATGCAGCCCAGGTTGTATGTATAGAAGCAACACACCAAGTATTCCAGAATAAGATGCTCTCAGAAGATCTTCCAAGATTGGGAGTTCCACATGTGCAGCACTGCTGCAGAGAATGTTTTCTCACGTTCCAGCAAGCCAAAGCAGAAGGACAGCTTTAGAGATACAGATTCTGATGGGAAAGTTCATGTTGGAGAAGAGAACAGCTGCTCCTTCCTATCTGTGCTGCACTTTCTTGACAGAACCCAAACGGGTTGTGTCCGACTCATTGTGACCTCATGGACAACACTCCTCCAGGCCTTCCTGTCCTCCACCATCCCCTGGAGTCCACTCAAGCTCACACCGACTGCTTCAGTGACTCCATCCAGCCACCTCACTCTCTGCCGTCCCCTTCCTCTTTTGCCCTCAGTTTTTTGCAGCATCAGGCTCTTCTCCAGGGAGTCCTTTCTTCTTGTTAGGTGGCCACAGTTTTTGAGCTTCATCTTGCACAATTGCACAGGAGCACAGCAGTGCAAGTCTGGAAACGGATCCTCAGTGAAGCAGTGTCAGCGGTACAGATGGTCAGAGTTTAACAAGTTCCAATTCTAAGCCTCCAAATAATTCCCCCCCTTTGCTCTGTCTTAACAGCTGTCAAAAGGTAAGCTGTAAGGCAAATATGCAAGTGACCTTTTCTCATGAAAAAGGGCTGTTAGAGGTTTTCACTTTGTTTTTTGCTATGAGAGTGCTCAGGGTCATGGCCATTTTGCTCATTTCCCTAAGGCTCTTGCTGCTTGGGAAAGTACAGAAGTGAATTCCACCTCAGAGGGGAAGAGATTTGAGTCCTCTTTAAAACGGAGTCTAACAGGGCAATGGGTGGTATTTGACTAAGTCATACACAAGAAAAATATCAGAATGACTTGTTGCCCTAAGACAAGGGATTATTGAGGAATCAGTTGGGGTTCATGCAACACATCAGCCCTTTGTGTAGTTGTATCATGTGTAGCCACTCAGTTTCAACTTTATTTATATATAGCCTTTCTAAGTACTAAACTTAAGGCAGTTTTAAACAAAGCTGGCAATATTTATAGCAGTGTAAAAAGTGGGTGGCAAAGAATTTATATACAATATTTCAGTATGCCTGTATTTTCTTTATCTGGTCATACAGAACAAACCAGCTAAACAAACAAGCTATACATTTGCAGAAAACCAGGAGCTTGGTGGATTTATTTTTATGTATTTTTGAATGTATATGGTGTGCCTTTGTGTCTAAGTAGCTTTTTAAAACAATTGTCTCATGCAACCCTTTGACCAAGCACCAGACTGAAAGAGGATTTGCTCTGTAGTATTAATCTGTTTAATATTATCCTGGTTTCCGTCTAAAAGGGATGTTGACAATTTTGGTACAACTCTGCTCATTCTTGGGCAAGATAACATGGTGTGTTACTGCT